CCGTGCTATTTATTTTCTCCCTTCTTCATGTATGTTACTATCATACAAGTTATAGTGCTCCCGGAAATTTTGAGTTCTCACCGCCTGCTGGTACGCTGTCTTGCTAATTACTGCGAGGTTATCCTATGTAATTTTATGATTATTATTTTTCCCATGCCTTACGTAATTATGTTTGCAGAAAATGAATGTTTGCATTATTTGCCATCCCATCAATACATGTTTATTGGTTGTTCTTCCGGATTATTGTCAAATTGTGTTATCTAATTTCCTACATCAAAACACTGAAACATGGATGGTTATGGTATGCAGCAGCATCAAAATAAAACCAAAAGATAACATCAGATTGTAGAGCAATTATTGAGTACCGTAGGTTGTTTCCCTAGCTCTATGGGATGGCATACACACTTCATGTTTTTTTTGAATTGTTGGGATGGCATACACACTTCATGTTTAAAACTTCCCTTCCAGTTGTAAAAAAATATTCGAAGTAAATACAAAGAGTCTATTGCCCCATTTTAGTTTCTTTGAAGAATCAAGAAGGCCAAGTACAACACAACTTATAATTTTTGCTTTGCTGCGAATGAAAAAGGTAAATCATATGTGTATGAAATATTTAGACAAGGTACAAGCTACAGGTACAAGTCTTTCAAAAAAAGTTATAATGCCAGTATAAATAAATAAAATTTAGTTACGTTTCTGTACAATATACTGCTTCCTTAGCAACTAAAAGAACTATATCAGTGTATGCTATTGATGATGCCTCTCCGGATGTTTGAGACATATATCTCGGCGAACTTCTCAGGTGTGCTTCACATGTACTATCATATGCCCATACTTTATTTTTCCAGTTGTTATGATTTGGCCATGCAAATTTTAACTTTTTTGTAGGTGAACAAATATCTCATTTGGAGCGACTATAGGCTAACCAAGGGTATTAGAATTACTTCGATGCTCTTAAAATCCAACATAGTTACTTGGGAGACGAATTGGTGCACGTTACTGATAATTCTCTTTATGTTTGTGCAGAAATATATTTGTTCATCATTTCAAATGTAAATATCAATATTCCATATGATCTCCAAAATCAACATTTAAAATGTAAATGTATTGTTCAGTATTTCAAGTTGCATCTTCTATTCATTCATACAATATATGCTTTTATTTGAACCTGCTCATGGAAAGCACAAAGTCCCGCAGCAACGCGCGGGGTATCATCTAGTATCTATCAATAACCGATGCTTATTCTCTCCAACGTAGATAATGCCGAATTGGAGCTCATCGCTTTAGCCACTAATGAAATTTTTATGTAGGCGAAGCAAGGATTGGAAGAAGTTCATTCGTGGTTATCTGAAAAATCCTAGCAAAAGGGTGAACAATAAGGTTTGGCGGATGGTTTTGAGATAAATATCTATGGAACTTTATCACCAGATTGTTACAGAAGCTGAGAAGTTTTCACCCAAGTTTGCATCAAGAGGTTCAACCAAGCAATGACCGACATATACTTATCATCCTAAAAATATGCAAATGGCTGATGGAGTGTTGACATCATCCTTAGAACAAACTCTGTGCAAGTTATTTTTCGACACACTAGTTTTGCCGAAAAATAGAGGGGCATGTATTGACACTGGATTTTGGCATGGTACGAAATACAATTAAGATTGTGTCAAATGGAGAAGTGATCTTCATGAAAAAGTTCCATATTGTCGACATGAACATCTTTAAAGTTTGGGCCATCGCCATCTAATCTCATCGCCAAGGCCGAAGTTGTGTTCGAAATACTGAGATTTTGTAGCATTGTTCACCCAATTACGCCTCAAGGACCGCCTCAAATGAGAAAACTTTCTACACGAATTGGCTTCGTCTCGTCAATACGGTCGGTTTTAATATAAAAAACATCTCAATCCAAGATCGTATCTAAAAGTTAGATCCACTTGAGTGCGGCCCTGTCACGAGCCAAAAGTGGCGCGCCCCATCAGACATGGTGTCTGATGGGTAGCGTGAATAATAGTCTGTCTTGCGCGAGTGATTCGGCCCTGAAGATGGTCTAGAATCGAAAAATGTTCAACATGAAAGTTGTCTGCATCGTTGAAACGGTTAAATTTTATTTTGGGTGCATCTTCATCCGAGGCCGTTTGTTGCCTATGAGAGTCAAAAACCGAACTGATATCTCAAACTTGCCTAAATCCGAGTTCGGTTTAAAGATTTGGACGGGATTTGGAGTCCTTTTCTTGTACGGGAAGTCCAGCCGCTTCATAAATATATGAGAGATGACGGCCGATTGAAAAACACACAATCGAACATACACATTTACTATTTTTTTGTGTTCATCTATCCCCTACCCTTGTATCTTTCTTCTCGTTCTTCGTCGTTCTTCAGCAATGGAGGGCTGCGAATCCACAAGGCTCTAGGGGCGGTCAGGTCGACGTAGGGCAGACCATAGCCTTCATGCGCCCAGACGGGGTCCCTCCCTGGCGTGTGGGGTTTCGGGTCTACAAAAGTGTCTGTGGGATTGTTCGCGTACCGTGCTTCCGAATGGGTCTCCTTCGACGTGAGATGTGGTGCATTACCTTCGGTGTTGGAGGTACACGATGACGTGTTCATGTGCGAACAGGAACCACGTGCCCACGACCATCTCGCACTTGTCCTCCGATGGCCTAATCTCGATGAGCTCGCCGCCTAGCTTGGTCAGGATACCCATGATAGCTTCCGGCTCATACACCTCGTCGGGTAGCCCTTCGAAGCTAACCGTGGTCTTGTAGTCCAACGAGTCCGGCGTTGCGCACACTACGTGGTTCCAATGGCTAAACCAGAACTCCAACGTGTGTGTACACATCACGCCGTCGGTGAAGGTGAGCCACAGATCGCGCGGAGGGGTGGCCACTTCGATGCACACCAACAATAGCCTAACGCATGATTTCTCCTCCAGGACGTCAAGCAGGGCAGCAAGCGTCATCTCACCGTTGTTTTCTCCGGTCTCGATTGTCAGTAGCACACGGTCGCGGTACTGCGCCTCCAACACATCCATCCCCGGCGCGTGAGGATATCATGGTCAGAGCTTTGGCTACCGCACCTCCACGCCTCTTGCATGAACTTTCTTCCAGTCCACCAGTGCGAGTTTCGACGACGTGGTCCACCGGCTCGCACAGGCTTGATTGCCGCAGAAAGAGCACCGACGGCATTCCACCGGCCGCCGAACACTCGCTCTCCATGGATTGGGAATTTTTTGCCACTGATTCAGGCTCTTTAGGCCATGCGAGCTATGGGCCGCGGGTTCATTATGTACAAAGCAATTTTTTTTTTGTTTTGCAAAACGGTTATCGAGAGGGGTACGTGTCGGCAACACAGCGCATGAGCGTTCGCAGGACCGTATATGTGACCGTAGTGTCACGTCTTCGTGTGTATAGATACCATATTGTAGTGGTTCTCGAGTTCGAAGATATTTTCTTCCGGAAACGCTCCTTCGCGAGCGAGCGTTCCAACGAGCGATCTCGTATCCTCACGCTATCGGAAGCCAAAGAATAGATGGGCCCACCAACGTTAATGCATCAGCCCACATGCGCGTGTACATTGCTCGACCTTCCCTACTCTCTCTCTTTCCCGTGAACTCTTAATCTTCGTCCCCCCTGATTTCAATGGGTGGGGCCTCGATTTACCTTAAATGACATTCCAGACTTGCTAAAAAAAGCAAAGTGCAGCCTGTCGGAAATCGCGCGTTCCAGCGCGCGCGCGAGATAGCAGCGCTCATTTTCTTGTTACGCTTGTAATTTCTTTCTCTTCAAAATACGACATTGAAAATAAGCAGTGTGCATCCTCCGGTTCAGAAAACAAATTTCACCTGGTGATCACGGCTCCGCCTTCCCATTCCTTTTTGCCTATCTCGTCTCTCACCGAAAATTTGCAAGGGCACTCACCCGCCAAGCCATGTCGCCCGCTCGATTTGCCTCGCGATTTGCGAAGTAGTTGAATCTCACACGAAAGCACAGTAAAAAAGAAAACCCCAAACCCCTCAAAACGCTTTAAGTTTCGACAATAAAACTTACTGTTTTTGCATAAAAAAATGTCCAGTTTCAACCAGTTTCAGAGATATAATTTTAAGCATTTTTATTACTGTCGGTCGACGACACAAAATAGTTGTTTTTTATCAGTCATTCGTACTAAGTTTCAACCACTGAAATTTACTTTTTTAATCGTCAAAATGGATCTTATTTAAAAGCATTGGCCGCGAGAAACACGAATAAAAAAACATAACTTAATTTGAGTTTTTTGTTTAAAATATATAGAAGTTTGAAAACCGAAAACCAAAATAAAAGCTGGCACCCAAGACATGAGTGCTCCCGCACTTGCGTGCCGTGAATCCTCTTCCATCTCTCACGGTCTTATCTCCTTCTGTTCTCCATTATGCACGCCAAGGCCGCTTTCCTGTTGTTACCGTTGTCGCGTCCAGTGACACGGATGATACTATCTCATTTTATTTAAGTAAATAAAGGGGGCACACAGTCGGCTCTGTCTCCCGCTTCATCTCCGATGAAACAAGATGGGTTAACCCCACTGGTGAATAATTGTTTTCGGTTGCCTCCGCCAGGGATTTTCTTTTTTAGAGTACGCAAATTGCGTACCATACTTTTATAGAAAAAAGAAAGTTGATTACAAGAGACCAATGATAGTGCAAACATCACCGCTGGCCCACCCACGCCACAACAAAAAATCGAAAACTACACTCTCACAAGTAGAAGGGGGGAGGAGAAAAGAACATTAACGATGACGAAGAAAACTGCAGTGCGGTCGAGAGACAAGGCATTGCATGGGCGCTCCCTACTTACCACGACTTTTGCTCAGGAAAATATCTTCGCACCTACCAGTTGCCAAATTTGACAGCCACCCAACTTTCAACCCCCTTGATGCATTGCAGAGCACCAAACGTACTTGCCAGGCGACGATTTATAAGGCCGAGCCCTGTTGCAAATTAGTAGGCGCAGCTCAAGCGTAGCTGATTAACCACCATGGCCCATTCCTGCCACGGCTACGATCTTGTGCTGCGACGGTATCTCTTGGCCCTGCACCACCTCCTCGACTGCGTCCGCTTCGTCGCGGCGGTCGTCCTGGACCGCCTCGGCATCGTCTCGTTCGAAGGCGAGATGCTGCCCGGTGAGCCTTGGAGCGAGCTCGTTGACACTGCGCTGATGGAGCGCCTCATGGAGGCAGCGTTCTGGCAGTCCAGCTCGCCGCCGAAGGTGAATCGTTCGTCCTCGTGGACGGCGCCACAGTACAGACGACGGCGGGTTGCGCCGGCGGATGTCGAGGGAGCCGAGGACGACGACGGGTGCGTGGGCATCTGCGCCATTTGCTTGGCGGCGCTCGACGTGGGAGGGCAACTGGTCACGGAGTTGTGCAACTGCTCGCATGCGTTCCACGGCGCCTGCATCGGTTATTGGATCGGCAGCGGCGAGGCTGGCACTTGCCCGCTGTGCCGCACCCCGACGTTACCAACGGCGTGGTGGAACGGTTGGCGAGAAGTAGTGCCACACACGTCTTTATCTCCTTGATCGCTGAAGGGCTGAGGAGGACCGAAACATCTCGATCTCCTCACTCAAGGCAGGGCGACACGCCGCGATGTCTACATGTATAGCATAGTTACTCCAATGTTTTTCCGTTGTTTTCCTTTTTGCGTCAACAAATGTTTTCCGTTATTTTCGTTTTTGCATGAACGAATGTTTTCCGTTGGATAAAGAGTGTGGTTTTTCTAAAAATGTACTAACACTGAAAAGGACATAAAAAATATTATACGACTTACATACTACCTCTGTATCGAAATAGTTGAGAAAACTTATACTAGTTTGTCCCAACTACAAGTATTTCGATACTGAGGGAGTAGAACATAACAAATATACCATTAAAAAGGTCTACCAAGTGGCACAACCGACGGTGGGAGATGGCACGAAGGCATTATCCTTGGGAAGATCATTGGATGCTTGGTTGGCGGGTTCAGGATATAGCTCCGCGGATTTATGACAGCATTACAGCCAGAGTAAGGACAACTAGAACAGTTCACGAGGGGCTCTCAAATGGAGCATGAGCTCGAGACATTGGCCTCGATATTGGCCTTGAGCTACTTTTCAGTTTGGTCTTCAGTTGCACAGATTGAGCTTGACCCACTTAAAAGAGACCTGGTGCGGTGGGAAGGATGAAGAGTACTCGGCCCCATTGGCGTATGCAGCAAAGTTTTGGGATAGGGAAGTGGAGCCACAACAGATTTTACATGGAAATCCAAGGCACTGTTGCAATGTCATTTTTTCACTTGGCTAGCCTTGCGGAATAGGTGTTGAACGTCGGATAGACTTACACCGAGAGGATTGCCACATCAAGATGCATGCCCATTGTTTGCTCAACATGAGGAGAGCATAAATCATCTACTTCTTAAATGCGCGTTTGCAAGACAGATCTGGGCGACGATTTATAGGGCACTACGAAGGCCTGAGTGGACTCCAACTGTGAATGACAAACTCAAGTGGTGCATCAGTAAGAACATGTCTAGTAGAGCCCTTAAACCCTAAAATAACAGAAATAACCATTTTTTTACGGGTTGGGCGAAAAAAAATGCGTAGACTAGAACCCCTTAACCCTTAAACCCTTAAAAAAAAATTAAGGATCGGACCTGCAAACCCTCTCCCAACCTGTAAAAGTGAGGATTGGGGGGCAAAATCTGCCCCAACCCTCACTTCGATCCGGCCACGCGCGGGAGGGAAATTTCCCGTCCCCAACCTCCTCCCGCGCCTCCCCCGAGCCGCCGCCGTCCCGCCCCCGCGCCTAC